GAAGTTGCTTTTATTGTGTTCCGAGCAGAAAGAGTTGGAAAAACAACTAGAAGATGTCCTGACCTGTGATCAGAAAGAGTCGGCCACCTCTTCCTGCCAGGCATTCCTCAAAATCTTCCAGGTATGCCCACCACGAGGGCTGCTGGCACCTTCCTGAGTGGCTGGTCTGGAGGAGGAGGGGCCTGCAAGGACCGGGGTGCTGGGAGGGGCGTGGGTGTGGCAGAGACAGGAGGGGCTGAGCAGGGGAGAGGGAGGCCGGCGCTCCTGGGCACTGGAGCAGGGGTGGCGCTGGGGGGTGCGCGGTGCCCGAGGCCAGGCGAGGAGCTGAGCAGACAGCACTCAGCCCAGGCCCGTCTCTTGGGTGGTGGGGTCCCAGTGCTGGGGTGCAGGAGCCTCTGCGGGGAACCTCTCATCTCATGAAGACCCACTCCTGGGTCTCACTTAGGACCTGGAAGAAATGGGTGTTTGGGGAGGGTGGGGCTTCAGTGGGGAGGGTCCTGAAGCTCCAGGAGACATTGTGCAGTCCACCTGGTGTAAAATGTTTGGTCCATGAGCATGAGTGTGAACATGTGCATGCATGTACACAAATGTGTGCACATGTGTGTATATGCACAGGTGTGCCTGTATATGGGTGTGTATGCATGCATAGGCACATGCATGTGTGTATGCGTGTGCATATACACACATGTGTACATGTATGTGTGAGCGTGTGTGTGCACACACCTGTCTGCAAGCATATATGTGTATGCCTCTGTATGTGAGCCTATGTATATGTGTAAGTGCGTGTTTGTATGTGTGTGCGCGTGTGTTTGGCTTTCTTCATAGGGGTGAGTGGTGTTTCTGTTGATTTTTGTGACTGCTGGGGCTGGAGAGAGAGAAGATGATGGGACACTAAGAATCCTCAATGCCTTTATCAGAGACGCCCTGTTGAGAGCGTCGGGAGGGAGTTGAGCTGGGGTGTGAGCTGGGGGAGAGTTGGCAGCCCCTGTTGAGGCTGGTGCAGCCTCAGGGTGTGTGTCGAATGGGAGGAACTCCAGGTGTGTGAGGCTGAGGGCAGGACCCCGTCTGGGTGCGAGTGGGGAGGCCTGAGGAGACAGGGGGAGCCTGGTGGGAGGGGTCTGCCCCTTGCCATCCGCAGTGGGCAGGCTTGGAAGCGGGCAAGGTGTGGGGACAGCTGGGACAGGCCGGAGTTGGGGGGCCGCATCCTCCCAGTGGTCTGCCCCGTCCCCCGAGAGTCCACTTGCTTTGACTGACAGCTGTTGAAAGGAACCATAGATTCAGTGCAAGACATTGGGCCTCCCATCACCAGCCGGGTTCAAGCCATGGTTCTGAACACGTTTTCAGAGTTTCTGAAAAGGTAAGTGAAAAGGCAGCCCTGCCCAGGTGGGGAGGCCTGGTCTGGGTTCAGCTAACCCATGTCAGAGCGTTCACCTCGCCAGCAGCTGCCAGGCTGGGGCCAGTTCACAAAATGCAGGGGGAGGGCCGGTTGGCTCCGGGTGACCCCCGTCCTGCCCGCTCCGCGTCTCGCCTTGGCTTTGGAGGCAGCCCTGTGTGACCGCGGAAACGTCCAGCCTGGAGGCCCCGGCCCGGCAGCTGTCCAGCTAGTTCTAAGCGGGCATGAGGTTTAAATTTTATTTAATTTCAACTAACTGACATTTGAACAGCGTGTGGGGCGTGGGGCTCGTGGCTCTCTGTTGCACGGCAGCGCGGGCTTAGGGGGAACCCGGGTTCGGTTCCGCATCCTGGATTTTGTTATGCTGATGTTGAGGGGTTTTTTTGTTTGTTTCATCTTATTTTTTGGCCAAATATGGCTTGTGGGATGTTGTTCCCCAACCAGGAATCAAACTGCCGCCTCAGAGCAGTAGAAGCACAGAGTCCCAACCACCAGGGAATTGCCATCAAGCTTTGAAAACTGCGATAAAGCACCATTTCTCTCCGTTACTGGATTTCAGGCGCCCTTTTAAACCTGCGGCTGAGCTGAGAGCCTCACTCCCTTCTTGGTTATCACAGCAGGACTTGCTATCAGTCTCCTTGGTCCACATCCAGCTCTGCCCTGGCCCTGGATTTGGGGAGGGGGTGCTCCCTCTCTCCCAGGGGGCTGGGGTGAGGGTGACTGTGGCCGGGATTGCCCGGACTTAGTGAGAAGCAAGTTTGGGGCACAGCGCTGTGTACCGGAGCGTCACGGGGCCCCCTTTTCCGGGATTTCCAGTGTGGCTGTGTTCACCAAGCACGAGGCTCTCTGAAGGGCCTGGCACCAGGCAGGTTCCTCATGAGAAGCCAGAGATGTGAATCTTTAGATGAAATCAGCTAGGTTTTAAATGTTGAACCAGACACCATGGGGTGGCTAGTTAATCGTGATTTATAGTCTAGGAATTAAAAGGCATTCCTTCCTTCCTGCCTTTGGGGAGCGGGGGTGTCCGTGCCTGCCCTGACCCCTCTCTCCCCACTCTGCTGCGAGGGGAGTTGCAATGGCCCAGGCAGGGTGTGGGGCGCCCCCTTCCCTCCCCGTGGGCCCTCCCGACATTCCCGGGAGGTCTTGTTTCCTACTTCTTCCTTCACCTGTCGGGAGAGTGCATTAGCCGTGATTCCAGACCACAGGAGAAACCCAGTCCTGTCCCGTTCTAGAAGCGTTTACCGCAAAGGGCCTGGGACAGCATTACAGGAAAAGAGCCTTGGGAAGCGTCCGTTCCAGCGCCTGGCGCAGAGCCGACCCCAGTTGTCCACACGTTGACCACGACCACCCACACCTGCTGTTTCACGGAAGCAGCAGCAGTCAGGCTGAGAAGGGGGACGGCTTGCACTGCTGGATGGGGCCGACTCACGGGGCGGCGCCTGCATCTCCGCCTCCACATGCAGATACCGGGGTGAGGGTGCCCCCCACTTCCTCCAGCAGCAGGCCGGTGCCGGACCCTCCCCCCAGCTGCACGTGCTGCAGAACTGCTGCGTCCTCAGGTGGGTCCTGGTGTGACCCAGGTGTGGGCAGGGCGGGCAGCCTCGGACCCGGCGGGCCACTCTGCATGGATGGCAGACTGGGTGCCTGTGTGAGAAGTGGGGGATGACCCCCCCATGCTGGATACCCAGTGGCAGGGTTTCATACAGGAAACGCCAGATGCCAGGAACACTGGCTACTGCCGGAAGGAGTTTTCCTCTTGTACCTTTTGCATTTCATGCTACAGGAATATAACACTTATTCCATGAATAAAAAAGAGTGGGGATGAAATAGACAACCAGGCGCAGAAGTGAGTCTGTCTGCCCGAGGGTACCCAGAGGGTCAGCAGCAAGAGGGATGCGCACGGCTCAGGGCTGTGGCTGGGCCTGCAGGGCTCCCGGCCAGGCCCCACGGGCCCTGTGGGTTTCCTCCAACAGGAAAACGTGGCAGAGTCTGGGCCAGGCCCACACTCCCCTGGCGGACGTGGTGCTGCGTACCATCAGCGCCATCGAGGACCGGAGCCAGGACGACCTTGTGTCCGTGGTCAGAAGCCAGTACCGGGTGATGTACCCCCAACTCCAGCCCTTGCGCGGGCCCTCTGCTGCTCCCAATGGTGTGGCCAGAGGGTGCCTCTGTCTCCCGGGCTCCCTCCAGCCCAGGACAATGAGGGGGGTACAGCAAAGCCCAGGCACAGCTAGCTTCGAGTTGCCTGCCTCCAGCCTTCTCCCTGCCCGAGCCTGGGCCTTGGTCTGCAGTGGGAGGACAGCTCAACTTCCCGCCTGGCCAGAGACGGGCCCCGTGCAGCTGAGGGGGCTGGGGCTGGCCTTGCCTCCGCTCAGGAGGCCCGGCTCCACCCTCACAGAGGGCAGCTGCCTGGGCAGGGTCCACGTTTGCAGTCTGTCCACGGGCAGACCTGCTCTTGGCTCTGTCTAGAGCCTAGTGGGGCATCTTGGCTGTGGGCCTAGTGGGGAGCAGGGCTGGGGAGGTGGGGCCTGTAGGAGAGAAAGGGCAAGGACGGGAGACAGGCTGGGCTCAGGCCTCAGTGACCGTGACGCTCCTGTGCTCAGAGCCTACTGGGGCATCACTTCGGGAGGGAAGACGAGGGGCTGGCCCAAGCTCTGCGATCCCTCAGGCGGGGCCTGGAGCACTACCCCAGCCTGCTTCCTCCTCCCACGTACAAGGTAGGAAGGAGCAGAAGGGGGCTCCCGGGGGGTCAGCTCTGTGTGGCTGCTGGCATCTCCCCCGGCCCCAGGGCTGTGGGCGCCGTCCTGCCAACAGGGTGGCCCAGGGCCAGAGACAGGCAGGGCTGCATGGCCCTGGTCGTCATTCTGGCTCTTGGTCTCCCTGGGGGAGGTGCGGGGCCAGCTGGCGGTCACCCCGGGAAGGAGCTGCTTTGTCACGGAAGCCCAGTGGTCAGGGGTTAGGCCTGCCGAGTTGGGGGCCAGGCCCCACAGACCCAGCTAGAGGGGCTTTGTGGACCATTCTGCTGCCCCCACCCCCAAGGCTGAGCCCCTGAGGCCAGGAGACCTTGTCCTGGGACAGCTTTGCTCCACCTTTCGCATCCTCTTTCTTTTGGCGGGGCAGAGCCTTGTGCAAAGCCTTTACAAAGCGGTCTTCACTGAGTACCTCCAGGCCTTGGTCACCCATCTCAAGAGGCTGAAGCCCCGGAAGTGGGAAGACCACCGGGGTCAGGTGGAAACGGACTTCCGGGAGCTGCATGAGGCTTTTGGGAGGCAGGAGGTGAGCCCGGGACCCTCGGGGGGTCCGAGGGGCTGCCGTCCCCTTTCTGGCGTGTCTCTCTTCTCCCCCGACTGGCCTGGACCCGGCTGACCCCTCCCCCTGCCAGGCCTGTCTGTGCTAGGCTGGTCTCTCAGGGCGGCCCTGGAGCTCTGGGCAGAGGGGAGGCAGGGCCTGGGGGGGCCCCCTGGGGGGCTCAGGGGTGACACGGGCAGGCACACCCTGCTCTCCCCGGCAGGGCCGGCCCGGGGGCCTGTGCGGTGACCCCGGGGTGAGGCCCGCGCTGGGTAAGGCTGGGAGCTCCTCTCCGCAGGGCCTTGGTGACGGAGCCCCTGGCCGGGAGGCCTTCATGGAGGTCTTCCAGCTCAGCGGGAAGCAGGGCAACCCGTGTCTGGATGAATGGCTGGACTCCTTCAGGGACAGGTTCCCAGACTACGTGGGGTGAGAGGCAGGACGGGGCAGGGAGACGGGGGGACTGCAGGGGGCTCAGCCCGGGCCTGGGTGGGGGCGGGGCTGAGCTCAGGGCGTGGGCGTGTGAAGGCTGAGTATGAAGGGTGTGAAGGGTGTGAAGGGTGAGTATGAAGGGTGTGAAGGGTGAGTATGAAGGGTGTGAAGGGTGAGTATGAAGGGTGTGAAGGGTGTAAAGGGTGAGTGTGAAGGGTGTGAAGAGTATGAAGGGTGTGAAGGGTGTGAAGGGTGAGTGTGAAGGGTGTGAAGGGTGAGTATGAAGGGTGTGAAGGGTGTGAAGAGTGAGTATGAAGGGTGTGAAGGGTGAGTATGAAGGGTGAGTTGCCGGCAGAGACTGGGAGCCCTGGGCCGGAAACACACATGTCAGTGCCTCCTATCCTCAGGAGGGAATCCAAGGCCAGAGAAGGGCAAGGATTTGCCCAGAGTCCCCCACAGGCCGGTGCAGCCCCCTCACTGGTCTCTCTGCCTCCTGATGCTGAGATCCACCCAGCTGGACCCTCGGAGTGGCCCAGTCCAGATCCCTTCCTGGTGTTCAGGACTGCCAGGTAGGCTGTCTAAGCGTCCTGGGGTTGGTGGGGGTGGGGGTGGGAGCTGGGGGAACCGCCTGCCGTCCCAGCTGCCCCGGAAGACGCTGCTCTAGACCCCGCTCTCGTCTTCCTCTGTGCGCCCGTGGGTGCACAGAGCCGTCTTCCTGTTGCTCAGCACACAGGGCCGGCCCGAGGAGCCTGGGCTCAGGAGCTGCTGCCCTTGCTCCTGGGGCTTCCTCACGCCTTTCACAACGTGACCGAGGGTGTGAGGGCTCCGGGGCCTTCTCCAGAGACGCCGGTAGGTCAGGATCCAGCCCCGGGCGGAGTGGCTGGGACAGGGGCTTGGGGGTCTCGGAGGGGACCAGGCTGAGGGGCTGGACTGGAGTGAGGGTCCAGTGACTCAAAGCAGACACTGCACTGCCCGCCTGCAGGCAGCTCCCTGGGCCCCTAGTCAGTGGTTCTTGAATATTTTGGTTGCAAGACTCCTTTAGTCTGAACAATTATTGAACTGAAAAACTGTAGCTTACATGGTTATATCGATTGATAGTTCCATTATTTGAAATTAAAACTGAGAAATATTAATTCATTTTTTAAGATGTTTGGAAAAAATAATAGAAATTCACTGGAATGCCCTTCCCACCTGCTGGGATTCTCCTCCCTCTAGGTCTGGCTCCTAGACACCCCCCCACCACCCTGCCCCAGTCTATTTTATTCGCTTCCTTTCCTGAGATGCCCGTCACCATTGTCTTGGCCGAGAGCTGTCCTGTCTGTTCCCTGGCAAACGTCTTCATGGCAGAGGACCAGTCTCATGGCAGAGGACCAGCCTCATGTCTGGAGGACCAGACAGACGTTTGTCTCCATCCTCGCGGTGCCCGGTGGCCCGCTGGCCACCCCAATTGGAGGTGGAAGTGAGCACCCATTTCCGGGAGCCTCTCCCCCTGGGGCTGTGGACGTCGTGTGGCTCCGGGACCCAGTTAAGGCGGAGGATGTGTGTGCCCCCGGCTGCTTCACAGGCGGCAGTCTGAAATCCAGAAGGAAGCCATCCTTCTCAAGCCTGGACCCCTCCACCAGAAGGAATCCTGAGTCAGACACCAGGCGATGAAAGGCTGGCCTCCTCCACGGTCCACCCAGAAGAACCAGAGGGCAAGGGCGGGGCAGGGAGAGGCAAGGCACAGAGCATCTCAGCAGCCTGGTTGCATGTCCTCTCCTGGTGGACAGCAACTTTACTGAGATGCAATTCACACGCCATGTGGTTCACCCACACAAGTTTCACGTACCATTCAGTGGTTTTTAGTATATTCACAGTTGTGCAGCCATCACCACAGTCAATGTTAGGACATTTTCACCTACCCTGGAAAGAGACCCTGTAACCTTGTTGGCATGACCCCAAACCCCTCTTCCCAGCGTGCCCCCAGCCCTGGGCGGTCACTGCTCTGCTCTCTGGCCGCATAAACGTGTCTGTTCCGGACACGTCACATAAAGTGAATCACATAATATGTTGCCTTTTGTGATTGGCTTCTTCCACTTAGCATTGTGCTTCAAGGTTCGTCGGTGGTGTGGCTTGCATCCATGTTCCGCTCATTTTTTAAATTTTCTCCTTTGTTTGGCTGTGCTGGGTCTTCGTTGTGGCACTCAGCGTCTTCTCAGTTGTGGCACTCGACCCCTTAGTTGCAAAACGTCGGACCTCGTTCCCTGACGAGGCATCGAGCCCAGGCCCCCTGCACTGGGAGTGTGGAGTCATTCATAGCCATTGGCCCACCCAGGAAGTTAGCTCTCCATTCATTATTTTTATAGTCAAGTGATACTCTGTTTGTTTTTTTTTTTTTTTTTTGGTCTGTCTGTTTTATTGCCAGCTGGAAGCTCAGGCCTTGACTGCGTACTTCCGGAGGGGGTACAGCCGCTCCTTCCGCAGCTGCTTCTTGGTCTTCAGGTTCTCTTCATGCTTGTTGAGCCGGCGGCGCATGGCACGTGTTTTCTTGGGCCGCAGATCCAGGGGCTTGTACTTCTTGCCCTTATAGAATTTCCTGAGGTTCTCCTTCTGAGTCTGGTTAATGATGGTCAGTACACGGGCAATGGATTTACGAACCACTCGATCTTGGAGAGTTTGGAAGCCGCGCCGCCTGTCACTTTAGCCACGCGCAGCTGGGACAGTTCCACCTTCAGGTCCTCCAGCTGTTTCAGCAGCTCTTCCTTCTTCTTGCTGCGAAGGTCTTGAGCCTTAATCTTGGCCATGGCTGTATAGTCCGCCTCCGCTGATACTCTGTTTTATATTTGGTTCCGTCATACATTTGTTGATGGGCATTTGAGTTGTTTCTAGCTTGGGGCTGCTGTGAATAATGCTGCTGTGAACACATGTGTATAAGTTTTTGTGTGGACATGTGTTTGTAGTCCTCCTGTGTTCCACCTAGGAGTGGAATTCCTGGGTCAAACGGTGACTCCGCGTTTAACGTTTTGAGACACTTTAGAGTATTTCTCCGAAGCAGCTGCACCATTCTGCGTTCCCACCGGCGATGCTCGAGGGGCCTAGTGCCTCCATATCCTCATCACCATTCCTTATGTCCGACTCTCTGATGATACGCACCCTGGTGGGTGTGACGGGGTCTCCCACAGCGGTTTTACTTACTCACTTACCTAGTTTAATTTTCGTCTGCCCTGGGTCTTTGTTGCTGAGCAGTCTTGGCCGCAGCTGCAGAGAGCAGGGTCTCCTCTCGTTGAGCACAGGCTCCGGGCGCGTGGGCTCAGCAGCTGCAGTGTGTGAGTTCAGTGGCTGTGGCCCAGGAGCTGTGGCCCTTGGGCTTAGTCGCTCCGCGGCACGTGGGGTCTTCCCAGACCAGGGCTGGAACCTGTGGCCCCTGCGTTGGCAGGTGGATTCTTTACCACTGCGTCACCAGGGAAGCCCCTCACTGTGGTTTTGATTTGCATTCTCTCTGATGAATAGCTTGGAAAAGACCCTGATGCTGGGAAGGATTGAGGGCAGGAGGAGAAGGCGACGGCAGAGGATGAGATGGTTGGATGGCATCATCGACTCGATGGACATGGGTTTGGGTGGACTCCGGGAGTTGGTGATGGACAGGGAAGCCTGGTGTGCTGCGGTTAATGGGGTCTCAAAGAGTCGGACACAACTGAGTGACTGAACTGAACTGAACTGATGAATAACAATGTTGAGCATCTTTTCGTGGGCTTATGGGCCGTATGTATATCTTCTTTGAGAAATATCTATTCAAAAACTACTGCTTATAAGTTAGGTTGTTAGGCCTTTTGTTACTGAGCTGTAAGAGTTTTTTTTTTTTTTTTTAATATTCTACATTCAAGTTCCTTACGAGACCCCCCACCCCCACCCCAAGCCCATGGCTTCAACGGGATGGACACTGGCCACCCAGAAACAGGCTGGCTCTGGTGGGGGCAGCGTGGGGGCAGCTGAGGGGACTGCCTGCAAGCGACCCTGGGCCGCCCTGCCCCACTGCTGAGGCTGCCCCGGGTGGGCCGAGGGTGCAGCCCCTGTGTCCAGCTTCCCTCGGCCCCGGCGAAAACCAAGACCTGGAGGATCTTGATCGGGAAGCCTGACTGGGGAAGACACACAAGTGGACAGAGTGCCCTGGACCTGTGCCCCGAGGGAGGAGGGCTGAGCCCGCAGGAGGCGCCGTGCTCGCAGCAGGGCGGTGGGTGGGCTGGGCTGCGGTGGGTCAGGGGGCGGGGCGGGATGCCGCCCCCTCGCCAGGGTTAGGAGGAGGGTAGCAGTTTGTGAGCGCACACGGGGAGGGTGGGCGAGGAGAGACAGACGGGCGGGAGCCGGGCGGGTGCACAGCTGAGGCAGGTGCAGGGGCGGCCGGGAATGGCGGGGGGCAGGCAGGCGACCCAGGAGCCCTTGTGCCAGGCCAGCGCACTCAGGCCTGTGGGCAGCAGAAGCTGAAGGGCTTCCGTCGGGGGTGACCCTGTGTGGCCTGCTGGCCCGGCAGCTGCTGGCAGAGGGTAGGGGCTGGGCAAGACGCCGTGACCCTCTGTTTGTGGGGCTCAGCGCCTCTGTCCCCCCGGAGGGGAGGAGGGACTGGGCGCTGTGGGGCATCTTGTGGGTGCTTGCACCATCTTGTCTGCACTGCCTCATCTCTGACAACATTCTGACATAGACCCGACTGCTACCGATTTTACAGATGAGAAGACCGAGGCTCAGAGTGGAGTGCAGCTTGTTCGGGGCCAGCCTGCTCTTCAGTGTGGGTGTGGGGACAAACCCAGGACTGCCTGCCCCTCAGTCCTTGAGAGCGGTCCACGGATGGTACAGGTCCCTGCAGAGGGCTCCAGTGCCCACCAGAGGGCGCCAAAGCCCAGCCTTTGTGGGCAACCCCTCCCCCGGTGACCGAGGGTCCCAGAGGCAGCCCCTACTCCCAGGCCTTCTGCAGGCTGGCCGGCTCCAGGCTTGGAGAGCTGCAGTGCTCGGTCCCGGGGGGTGAGGGGCACCCTGTCTGCCCCCGACAAGAGCAGGGATGAGAGCTTGGCCACAGGAGGGGGCAGTGTGAGAATCCGAGGTGACCACGAAGGAGCTCTGGGGCGCCTTCACTGTCCTGAAACCTTTGGCAAACTCTTCAAGCTCCTGGAGGGCCCTGGGTCTTTGCGGAGCCCCTGCACGGACCACTGTGATCTTAACCAGGGTTCCTCCGCCCGCAGAGGCCGCTCAGGAGGAATTTCCGCCTGTCCCCACGCCCGTCCCCTGGGCGGATTGTGACAAGAACACTTGGGTCCACGGGCCTGGGACTAGCCCCCCAGTTCCTCCCTCCCTCCAGCCGGGAAGATGTGCAGAGCAGGCCGCAGCCCACTGCCGCACACACCTCACAGTGAGCCGGGTTTGTGGGGAGAAGAGGAGGGTGGGACAGGACGGCCAGGCTGGGCGGCCTCCCCCTTCCTTGGGGCCTCCACGGGCCCAGATGGGCAGCCAGGAGGTGATGGACTCAGGCCAGAGGAAGGACAGAAGGATGTCCCAGAGGGGGAGGGAGGTGGGGACGTCTGGGAGCTACTTGACAGGGTCCCCAGAAGGCACGTGTGCTTCCTGCCCCTGGATGCAGTTGAAGGACCACAGAGAGGTTGGTCAACATCCTTTCACTGTGAGGGCAAAGGTGAGAGATTCGTGGAGGAAGGACCCGGAGCCTGGCTCCACTGGTCCTGTAATTAACCAACCCCAGGCCCCCTGGGCTGGTCAGCTGCAGCCCAGAGCACCTGGAGGATGCAGGTCCTCACCCAGAGAGAGCGACCCCCCACACACACACCTGTCCTGGCGGCTCACCCCACTGAGGGGACCTGGGTGACAGGGGTGTCACCTGCCTTGGATGGTTTGACAGAATCATGACAGTATCACCCATGTAAGCTACAAATCCAAGGTAATCCCACCAAACGCCGCTGAGATCCCTGGGAGCTGAGGAAGCACTGAGGTTTGCTGAGGGGAGAGTGAGGAGGCAGGGACCTCCCTGGCGGGCCGATGGCTGAGACGCAGCGCTTCCACTGCCAGGCACGAGCCCAGTCCCAGGATAGGGAGCTAAGATCCCGCAAGCTGCACAGAGTGACCGATGACGTAAAATAAATCCATAGTTTTTAAAAAGGGATGGACTACATTGCCAAATGGCCGAATCGGTGTAACATTGGAGGATATCTGATGGGAGGACAAAGGCAAAGTCATGGCCAGAGAGGAGGGCAGGGAGCGGGGGAGGGGTAGAGGAGACCCTCGCCGCATACCCGGGGTCCCCGCCATCAGCAGAAAATAAAAACGGTCCTTACTTAACCCCACATACACAGAGGGACTCTATAGAGAACAAAGGTAAACATATGAAGTTAGAAGAAAGTGCAGAAGACTCTTTCTAACATCTGGGCAGGGAAGGACTTCTTACAGAAAGATCCAAAAGCATAATCAATACGATCTGAAAAAAACGACGATAAGTTTGACTACATCAGAGCTCAGGCTTTTTCTCAGCGGACACCATGCTGTTGTTGTTTAGTCAATCATTCGTGTCCGACTTGGCAGCTCCAGGGACTGCAGCACACCAGGCTTCCCTGTCCTTCACCATCTCCCAGAGCTTGCTCAAATTCATGTCCATTGAGTCTGTGATGCCATCCAACCATCTTGTCCTCTGTCACCCTCTGTCTGGGTTGGTTATAGCTTTTCTTTCAAGGAGCAAGCGTCTTTTAATTTCATGACTGCAGTCACCATCTGCAGTGGTTTTGGAACCCAAGAAAATAAAGTCTGCCACTGTTTCCATTGTTTCCCCATCTATTTGCCATGAAGTGATGGGACCAGATGCCATGGTCTTCTTTTCTTGAATGTTTAGTTTTAAGTCAACTTTTTCACTCTCCTCTTTCACTTTCATCAAGAGGCGCTTCAGTTCTTCTTCGCTTTCTGCCATAAGGGTGGTGTCATCTGCGTATCTGAAGTTATTGATATTTCTCCCGGCAATCTTGATTCCAGCTTATGTTTCATCCAGCCCAGCATTTAGCATGATGTACTCTGCATGTAAGTTAAATAAGCAGGGTGACAATACACAGCCTTGACATACTCAATAACCTCAGATATGCACACTTGCTCCTTGGAAGAAAAGCTATGACCATCCTCAACAGCATATTAAAAACCAAAGGCATCACTTTGCTGACAAAGTAAAAGTCCATCTAGTCAAAGCTATGGTTTTTCCAGTAGTCATGTATGGATGTGAGAGTTGGACCATAAACAAAGCTGAGCACCAAAGAATTGATGCTTTTGAACTGTGGTGTTGGAGACTCTTAAGAGTCCCTTGGACTGCAAGGTGATCAAACCAGCAAATCCTAAAAGAAATCAACCCTGAATATTTATTGGAAGGACTGATGCTGAAGTTGAAACTCCAATACTTTGGCCACCTGATGCGAAGAACTAACTGATCGGAAAAGACCCTGACGCTAGGAAAGATTGAAGGCAGGAGGAGAAGGGGATGACAGAGGATGAGATAGTTGGATGGCATCACCAACTCAATGAACATGATGAGTTCGAGCAAGCTCTGGGTGTTGGTGATGGACAGGGAAGCCTGGTGTGTTGTAGTCCAGGGGGTCGCAAAGAGTCAGACACGACTGAGCTACTGAACTGAGCTCTTGGCTATTGGGAATAATGATCCAGTTAATTAAAAATTTTTTTAAAAATTTGTTTCTTATTTTGGCTGCACATTGCAGCATGTGGAATCTTAGTTCCCTGATCAGGGATCGAAGCCCTGCCCCCTGAAGTGGAAGCGCGGAGTCTTAACCCCTGGA